GTTACATTCGATACTGTGTGTTATGATAGAACATCACATTCGATACTGTGTGTTATGATAGAACATCACATTCGATACTGTGTGTTATGATAGAACATCACATTCGATACTGTGTGTTGTAAACTAAAATTACATGTGTTGAGCATACATATTGTGCTGTTAGGAAAACTTTCAATATATACTGGGAACAAAGTTGGCAAAGTGTTAGCAGATTTTACATGATAAGATATGTAAATTAGGTTTATTTTTTATCTCGCTCTTTAAACCATGTTATGAAAGTTAAAAAAATCTACATTAATATTCAACATATACATGATTAATTCATATCACGTTAAAAGCACGTTGAGTGTTGTAGATTTGAATAAATTTTATTGTCTTCAACTTTCACATGAATCATTGTAATGATACACGAAACAAAAGGAAATATTATATAACAAACAGCATATCTGTAACCATAATGCTTTTGTTTTTAAAAAGAACTGCTTGAGTGGGTAGATATGCAAGAGAAAAAAAAAGTGTGCCTTAAAATACACCAGCAACTCTCAACTCGGCGAAGGTAAACATTGGACTTTATAACTCATACCTGTTTTAATATAACGTGTTTATATTGTCTTCCTTAAAACTAAATATTTGTGTGTGTTTGGTAAGACAAACATTATAACATTTAGGCTTAGTTTTAACTTCTTAACAGTTGCGGTTGAAAGTATTGTATAGTAAAACATTTAGGCTTAGTTTTAGTTTCTGAATAGTTACTGTTGAAAGTAATTGTACTGTAAGACATTTAGACTTAGTTCTAATGTCTTAACAATTAAGGATGAAATTCATTATATAATAAAATATTTAGGCTTAGTTGTAGTTTCTTATTAGTTACGATTGAAAGTCGTTGTATAGTCAATCATTTAGGCTTAATTAAAGTTTCTTAACAAACATCATTAGTACGTGATAAGCCTCATAACATTTAGATATGTAACTGTAGTGTCTTAACAATTCGTTAGTCACTGTATTGTCGAACACCTTTAGTAACAGAAGTTGTGTTATTGGCCACTTTCGTTTCCTGTGACCCACTAAGTTTAAAATGTTAAACACTGAATGTAACGGTTATGAATTCAACACCATTATAAACTGAGCTGCATGTACCTAGAATGAAAGTTATTTTTAATTTACGGGATTTCTTGAAACATTTAAATGAACATACAATTTTCCTTTAAAAAAAATAAAATACTTTGGAAACTAAACATTCTTTAACTCTCTGTAGTGGTTAGTAATATATATTTGTGTAAAAAAATATAAAAACACAGATTCTCATATGGAGGATTGGAGGTTATTTCTGTCATCTCCATTTTGTTAATATGGGTGTACAGAACCTTATTTTGAATAAAGTAAGACAATGCTAAAATCCGGGGCTCGATTCCCGCGGTGGAAATTGCGTAACTTTGCACAAAGTCACATGATTCGATTAATCTAACAATAAATTTTTACTACTTTAAGTTTGATCCTTTTTTTTTAAAGACATGTATTGTTTCAACACCTTATTTACACGTAGCTTGTGTATACGAAGATATTAGGCCTAAAGTGCGGGATGTCTTGTTACACTCCTTCTGGCTGTAGTACAGGAGGCATTTTATGTGATTAACTTTCTCTGTACAGGCCAGAACGATATTTATTGATAAATATACCATAGGGGGAGTTTCCTGAGAGATTCGTCTTCTCGTAATTGTTATTGTTTTGCTGTGAGTGAAGAACCACATCAAGCACCTGATAGTTGAATGGGGTGCCATATTGGATCCGTGCCATATTTATTATTAAAGAACATAAAACAACACTCTAATAGTGTCTTCCTTTTAGCCTAATCTACCAACTTATTAGAGATGTGTTTTTTATTTTCTCCCTATGGGAAAAGGCCTTACTAGTTCGTTTTTTATTGACTGCTAAATAATAACCAATGTAAAATATCTTTATCATGGAATATGGTCGTCTTCGTTTCTTCTATATTGTTATTTGTGCTAATCGAACAGAAGTAGAAGGCAAGTGGAAACGTGTAATTAGAACCCAGAGTCAAGTTAAACAAACAACAGGACGCAAAATAGTGTTTTTAAGCCTGCTGTATAAGTGACACTATCCTTTCAAACAACAGGACACAAAATGGTGTTTTTTAAGCCTGCTGTATAAGTAACACTATCCTTTCAAACAACAGGACACAAAATGGTGGTTTTAAGTCTGCTGTATAAGTAACACTATCCTTTCAAACAACAGGACACAAAATAGTGTTTTTTAAGCCTGCTGTATAAGTGACATTATCCTTTAAAACAACAGGACACAAAATGGTGTTTTTTAAGCCTGCTGTATAAGTGACATTATCCTTTTAAACAACAGGACACAAAATGGTGTTTTTAAGCCTGCTGTATAAGTGACATTATCCTTTTAAACAACAGGACACAAAATGGTGTTTTTTAAGCCTGCTGTATAAGTAACACTATCCTTTCAAACAACAGGACACAAAATAGTGTTTTTAAGCCTGCTGTATAAGTGACACTATCCTTTCTGATCCAACAGGACGAAGGTTTCATGATATGATCCTCAACTAACACTTTCTGGGATTTTGTTACAGTTATTGTTAGTCACCGTGTGTGTGTTCGTCCACTGACGGGTTAATCATGTGGACTTAGTATTAATTATTAGTTATTCTATGACCTTAACAATTATCATCTTGATAACCGTGTGTTTAGTTTCTTCGAAGTATCTTTTTATTCAGTTTTTTTTTCTTTAAAGATGCTGAGGGGAGTACCCAGTTTCACGTGCAGTACGTGCCCCACCCGTGTCTGCAACTAGCGAGCTGATTAACATGATAACGCAAGACCGCCGCAAGGGGGAAAGTTAATGAATTATAAGCAGTGGCACTTGACGGCCGATCTGCCTGTGAACTAGCCAACTGTACAGATCATCGAATAGGTCAACATATTTATCCCGTCTTCAAAAGTAACACACACAAGCATGACATCGTAATCGCTGCTTTACACATTGTCAGGATATGCGGTCCGTGCGTCCCCCTGTCGGTTGTAAACTAAGTAGCTAAATTATTCCACAAAATGAACCGTGCAATATGTGATGATAAATGACATATAGGCTGTCTAATATCTATAGATGTATTTGAAAAATGAGCGAGAATATATAAATTGTTTATACGTTTTGTATGAAATAAATTTACTGCTTACAGAATGACCCATTGACCACTAAACGTGGAGATGTTTAAAGAACAGCATGCGCAATCCTAATGCCAATGATTTACGTTTTTGATACTTGATTAGATATATTTATTATAACAATTAATATGTTAACAAAAGGAAAGGAACTGAGATAGTTGACAGCAGGAAAGTTTATCATAACGACAAATCTCTAACTAGAAGAATGACAGGATTTTGATAACATCGCGTGATAATAGATTTATGAATGATTGACTGAAACCTTAACTTTCTCATGTAGTAATAGTAGAAACAGTAATAAAAACATCATTCACCCATAGAGAAACAGTAATAAAAACATCATAGTTTTTGTGTGGTCATGTAACTTGTTTCGAAGCTTAACATTTGATCATGTAGAAACCAAAGTTTAATATTGCATAATCATTAAATGTGATCTTATCTCCTACATTCAACAGTTTCTACGACTGTTCGCTTGTCATATATTTTAATTATCCTATTTTTGAAATATGTTTCTCATAGAATTAGCAATTCAACCATGTACATGGGTGAACAAAAGGAAACATCCGGGATGTTGTATTAATCGCGGTCTTTTTTCTTTCTGTGTGTGTGTCTGCAGGAGAATGTCCTCTAAGCGGAAGAGCCCCCCAACGAAGCTCTCGACTGACCAGCTGAACCAAAACAACGTCGACGGTCCTATACACGTTGTGAACGAAAATGATTTAGACGACGAAAGTAAAGAACCTGAAGAAGAAGACTTAGTTCTGAACTCAGCTGATCGGGCGAAATTAGAGCAGCGAAAAGGAGATATTTATCATAGACTAAGTCCCATTGACGAGATGTTTTCGTCTGAGAACTACATAGAAGAGGTTCTACAACACCGGGATGAAGCCGACTCTAGTGATAGTTTGGTCAGTGATTCTGGCATTAAAGCCGTGACCGCACTTCTCCACAGCCGGAAACAAAGACTGTTACAGAGCGTATCATCCACTCGCTCCGAATCCACAACGGACTCGGAATACGACTCGGAGGGTTGCTACACCGGAATTGAAGGAGGTAATTATGCAAGTTCGGCTGATAACAGGCCGTCATCTGAAATACTGAATAACGTACATGTCAGCGAAACCAGCAAACCCCCTGGTGTCCATACCGGAAAGAGGAGGATGGATGACGTATTGAAAAGACTTACATCCAAAATGAGCACTAGTGCATTGCTGAGTGATCAAACTGTGGGGAGGGGTATCGGAGAAAACATACTGGAACAACAGTCAAGCACTTGCCCGGGAGAAAAACACGAGAAAAGGTACCATTAAAAACTAGTATTAATATTAATCATTTTCAGAAGATCGTCTTCTAAAGCAAGCCACATGTCAGCACAGACAGGACGGCCTTGTGTAACGTTAATCTACGTGGTTACTTAGCAACACAACCGTGACTTGGAAATTAATTAATACACGAATCAAAAGATAGGACAGTTTGCATATGAAATAATCACGTGTTACCAGACATACTTGACCATTCCGTATACATGAACTGAAGACATGAATTACTAGAAAAGGCTGTTGTGTATAAATGTTAACCACTCGTTATCAAACATAAATGACTTAAATGAATATCCAGGCAGCATTGTGTGATAATGAGGCCCGTTTTACCAGCTGTACGTGATTATGGTTTAAAGTTTTAGTATTTTCAACCTGAATGAAACCTTTTGCGGCACGTGGTCTAAACAGTCAGGTCAGAGATTTCAAGGCATAGCCGTTCTTAATTTAGAAGTGTTGACCAGGGGGAGGCCAATAACTCGGTAGTGCCTGCCGTCTACACCGCTGCACTTACCCTTAACTTAATAGAGGGATTAGTTGTAATTTTTATAATGCGCCCACAGCAAAAAATACAGCGCGTATTCAGTGGCATAACATAACGCGGGCTCGAACCTTAGACCTACCAATCTGAAACCCAATTCTTTAACAAGCAAATATGTTGTAAACCAATTAATAAAACAGACTGGCTTATAGTTATTGTTAATAAAACAGACTGGCTTACAGTTATTGTTAATAAAACAGACTGGCTTACAGTTATTATTAACAAAATAAACTGACTTACAGTTATTATTAACAAAACAGACTGGCTTACAGTTATTATTAACAAAATAGATGGCTTACAGTTATTATTAACAAAATAGACTGGCTTACAGTTATTATTAACAAAACAGACTGGCTTACAGTTATTATTAACAAAATAGACTGGCTTACAGTTATTATTAACAAAACTAGACTGGCTTACAGTTATCATTAATAAAACAGACTGGCTTACAGTTATTATTAACAAAACAGACTGGCTTACAGTTATCATTAATAAAACAGACTGGCTTACAGTTATTATTAACAAAACAGACTGGCTTACAGTATTCATTAACTTTGGGATAGCGTGTCTCAGTGACTTCGTTGTTTGGACTTGTAGAGATCATTGCGAGTTAGAGTCTAGCCCTCGTTTTCCTTTTGTGTTATTGAGAAAGACACTTCACCTAGTCTACCCCCCCCCACCCCACCACCACCACTATGATGGGTACCTAACTGCTAGCTGGGGGTTAACCTGCGATGGATTGGCATCTTTTCCAGGGGAATTAGTTTGGTTTGAATTTCGCAAAAAACT